AGAAGGGAAGCAGCCAACGAAAAGAGAAGCACTCAGAATAGTGATGTCGCTCTTCGACCCGCTCGGATTCGTCTCGCCTATCACCATCAGGGCAAAACTACTCCTCCAGGAAGTCTGGCGTAGAGGAACAGTATGGGACGACAAGATCGACGAAGACCTGGCGGAGCAGTGGGAAATGTGGATGGAGCATCTGAAAAGCCTCCACGAGGTAGCAATCCCGCGGCAATATCTTCACTACAGCGAAGCGGCCTCCCTAGAACTCCACGTCTTCAGCGATGCCAGCGAGTCAGCCTACTCTGCGGTTCTCTTTTGGAGAGCTGTAACAGCAGTAGGCGGGGTCCACCTAACCCTCATTATGGCGAAAGCAAAGGTGGCACCGTTAAAATTGATGTCCATCCCAAGATTGGAGCTACAGGCAGCAGTCATAGGCACCAGATTCGCAGAAACAGTGGTCGAAGAACACGAGAGGAAACCTGACCGTAAAGTATTCTGGACGGACAGCAAAACAGTACTGACCTGGATAAGGACAGGGTCACGTTCATACAAGCCCTACGTAGCTCATCGTCTAGCAGCAATAGAAGAGAGTTCCAAAGTCAACGACTGGCGCTGGGTTCCGACAAAGCTGAACGTGGCGGACGACGCCACACGAGACGTACCAGCAGCATTTAATAATGACCATCGATGGTTCAAAGGACCTGACTTCTTATACCTAACAGAAGACTTCTGGCCGACGGAAACCACAAGAGCAACAGCGGAAGAACCTTCCGACGAAGAAAGGACACATCACGTGAGCAACAAAGGAAGATTGAAGCTTGCAGAAGGTCTACCTGATCCAGCGAAGTTCTCCAACTGAGACCGACTCCGATACTCAACCGCGCGTGTTCTACAGTTCATTCAACTCTGCAGAACCACCAAACGAACCACCAAACAGAGAGTCAACTACAAAAGAACAAAGAAGAATAAAGAGGCTGATCCCACTTGGAAAAAGAACAAAGCTACAGTAAAATATCAAGCGTACACGACGACAAAGAAGCGGTCGTCAGGAGACATAAAGCCGCTAATGGTCTCAGCCGAGCTGCTTAAAACAGCTGAAGAACTCCTGATGCGATCCTCCCAAGAAGAATCATTTGCGGAAGATATAGACAGCCTAAACAACGGGATGCCGATCAACAAAGAGAACCGCCTTCGCCAGCTCAGCGTCGAGTCAATAAACGGAGTCGAGTATTCGAGCGGTCTACGACATGGAGTAAGAATTCAAGAACCCGCTGATAATTGACGGTGATCATCATACAGTCAAGCTCTGGGTGCAGGCTATATATCGGCAACTCCATCACGCCGGTGTAGAGGCCACAGTCAACGAGTGCCGGCAGTACTGGGTACTGAGACTGCGCCCTATCGTACGCACAATACTACGAAGATGCCTATTCTGCAGAATGAAGACGCAAGTACCGCCGCATCCGAGAACCGGGGACCTGCCAACAAGTCGCTTAGCTCAGCACAAGCGCCCCTTCACCTACACCGGGGTGGACTATTTCGGACCTCTTTCGGTGACCGTCGGACGAACTCGACAAAAGAGATATATGGCCGTTTTTACATGTCTCACTACGCGAGCCATACATCTAGAAGTCGCCAGCTTACTCAGCGCTGACTCCGCGGTAATGGCCATAAGGCGAATGATCGCGCGGCGAGGCTGCCCGACAGAAATATGGTCAGACAACGGCACCAACCTGAAGGCAGCCGATAAGGAACTACGACAGGCGGTCGACGCAGCGACCGCAGAAGAAGCAGCGAAGAGGACTATCTCCTGGCGCTACATCCCGCCTGGAGCTCCATTTATTGGCGGAGCCTGGGAGCGAATGGTTCGCTCCGTCAAGACCGCTCTCATCGCGACGTTACACGAACGTCATCCGACAGAAGAAATCCTCACGACACTACTGGTAGAAGTAGAATACACCGTCAATAGCCGCCCGCTGACTCACGTCTCAGTCAGTCCAGAGGATCCCGAAGCTCTCACTCCTAACCACTTCTTGTTGGGAGGACCGGGACGAGTACCACAGCCAGGCACTTTCACCGAACGAGACGCCCTCTCACGGTCAAGTTGGCGAGCTGCGCAGAGGCCGACATCTTCTGGCTACGCTGGGTGAAGGAGTACCTCCCTGAGCTCCAACACCGGCGGGAGCCCCACGGACGAGGCCAAGCAGCACGCGTCGACGACCTCGTACAGATCGTCGATCCCAACCTGCCCCGCAACGTGTGGATACGAGGAAGAGTCATCGCTACATAGGTATCCGGGTCCCGACAACGTCGTGCGAATGGTGGACGTGCTGACCAAGGGAGGTGTCCTACGCCGGCCAGTGAGGAAGCTTGTGATCCTGCCTCTATCTACGGACGTCGAGCCCGCACCGGAAGCTGATGCGACGCGATTTATGTTATATTTAATTGAATAAAGATTATAGAGTTACACATAAAATAGGATATAAGCATTTTGTGTTATGATAAGAAAATAATAGTTTAGTGTTTATATTTGTATAATAGAATTAGTTTTAATGTAAACAATGACTCAGTAAGGTGGTCACTTTGTATAGTAGAACTAGCTTAAGGTAAACAATGTAACGTAACTCAGCAAGGTGATCACTTAACACAGTCACTTGCTCTGTCACGCCTCGCGCTGATTGGTCGACGCCGTTTGTACGATACGTACACCGTATCTATTGAACCAGCCGAGGTGGTATAAAAGAGGGGCGATTTTCGTCGTTGGACACAGTTGGCGGCCAGCTACCTCAAGAAAAGCATCGAATATAGAAGAAAGAAAATATCTCCGCGGTTTTGTTCTCCACCAATCCAGCACACAATTGTGCCTGTAGGGCACAATTAGACCGCATAACATTAAAATTTTGCTCTAAAGGCAGTAAAACATAAAATTAGCAAATAACAACTATCTAAAATAAAAGGAATGATGATGATGAATAGAAATACATAGCTATTTATATCTATTTAATATTTCGCTAGTAGTTTTCGAGAGTGAAAAGCACTTAAGTGATATAACTCAACAGCCTTATAAAAATCTGATGTCCATCGCCTTACACAAGTTACATGCTGAAAGTTGTCAACAACACTTCATATTATTTTTGAGCAGGCGCAAAATGTTAAAAGGAGGAAAATTGTTCCTTATATACTCTATTTATTTGATGAAAAAAGTTTGTTTGATAATAATTTAATAGGTAATAGATAAAAGAAACTAACAAATGTATTTTTATTTTATAAAAATATTTTTTTAATCCATTTATAATTAGTATTAAAATGCACAAGAAGTCACGCACTTAAGTACATTTGAATCTACATAATATTATATCACACAAAAGACTATTGAAAGACTATATTTTGAAAATTGAAATCCCTTCCAAACGAAGCCGGGCTATTTCGCAAGTCAATAATAAATTTAAAAAGTAACACCCATAAAAAAAGAAAAGATATAGTAGAGTTGAGTACCTCCTCCTTTTTGAAGTCGGTTAAAAATAAAATTAGTTCGTATCACCTATGGCATTTGCATACATATTACAAAGCAGTCATATTTTTCTTAGTGATTTTATTGGAAAGTTACAAAAGATGGAAAAGTAATATTAGTTCTTGAGCATTTTGATACACTTTATAAAATATTTTCAACATTCTATCTTATAATTCGATTGAAAGAAGTTTGCATTTATGAAAATGATAATTGAAAGTTTGTGTTCAGTTTACCAATTTCAGACACAAATCTCAAAATAATCATCAATCACCATTTATTTTATAATTTTTTCCATTTCACAAAAAAAAAGTCTCCAAGCTTTATGGATAAAATTTATAGCCGAGATCACGGCATTGCTCTGTATCTGTTTGTGAAGTTTCATCGCAAGCGGCGGTTCAATCATTCCTTTTGATTTGAGATTTGCATTACTAAGATTTTAAATTATACCAAGGCCTGTCGAATAGTGAGAACCGCTCTAACAAGATTTGTCTTCGAACAAACATAAATAATAATACATCTTAAATATTACATTAAATTGGCAAATTTCGAAAAGTTCTAAAATATGTATACGTACTATCCATAATACTTTATGGTTGGATCTTCGGAAAATTTTAAAATGCGTATTTCATTATTTTACTCCAAAAATAATTGTACCAATTTTCAAGTTCAATTATCATTTAATATTTTTTCACAATACAAATATGAAATCGCCCCGTAAAATAAATAGTGTCGTACAAACTGTAGCAGCCTATATTGTACGTAAAAAGAGAAAGCTATTATCCCAATCTCAGTCTTCTGCGTCCATCAATTTGGGCTGTGCGTATAAAATAATTTTAATACGTGGTAGAGCCATGCTGCAGCTATATTAGTAGTATAGTTGTAGCACGAATGGGAAGGACCACGCTCTCACAGAATACCAGCGTAAAATAGCAGCTTAATCCTGCTGTGTTTCGTATGGTGAGTGTAGAGAACCGGAGATCCTTTTTACTGGAAAAGAGGCATTCCATCTTAGTCCTCACGGATGACAACGCATCTGCATTTTGATTCGTAAACGAGGATAAATGTAGGTGTCTATGGGCCACAGCAACCACTTACCATCGGGTGGACTGTGTGCTCGTTTGTCACCCTATCATATAAAAAAAAAAGCCAATGTAGAATAAAAATATTTCACTACTTTTGAGCGTAAACCGGCTGGTAAAACCACCAATTGTCGCAGTTTTTCTCTGGCATCCCCTAGCCGTCTTTTACGTCACCCACAGAACGAAATGGCTTGATGGATTCTCTAAATCCTTCATATAAATATTTTAAAGGTAGGTATGGATAAAAAAGCGAAATATTACAGGGTTTCTCAAAATATTTTCTCGAAATAAAACAAAAGTTAAAAGTAATAAACTTTTAATATATAAGCAACACTTCATAAGTTATTGGTTCCTGTACAACGTTGATAATACAATATTAATAATAACAATGACCGTAGCCATCCTGTTTGTTGATTCTAAAGCAAAAACATTATTACAAGAACGATCACAGTTAAAGTAACCACCATTCCACCAAACAACACGTATTTGTCTTGAGTGACTCTGCGTTCTATTAGCGAAATCGTCGCATTGGACAGGCCGAGGGTGTTTGCCAAATCTATTAATCTTCTATGGGCACCTTTTAACGTATCTCTGTTATATCTCAGGGTCTGCAAAATGTTTGAACCTGTAAAATAAAACCATTACGAACCTAGTTAGACTAAAATTCTATTAAAGTTGCGCAAGGTAGATTTAATTAATTATTTAGAATGGAATAGAGATTTTCTATTCAATATACCTAGATTATTAATAATACCTCCTCCTCCAATAATGGCAAAGATTTTTTTTTATAGGATATGGGTGACAAACGAGCACACAGTCCACCTGATGGTAAGTGGTTGCTGCGGCCTATAGACATCTACATCTATCCTCTATTACAAATCAAGATGTAGATGCGTTATCACCCGTGAGGACTTAGATGAAATGCCTCATTTCCAGTAAAAAGGGCCTCCGGCCACCTGCACTCACCAAGCGAAACGCAGAGGTAAACCTCTACTTCACGCTGGTTTTCTGTGAGGTTGTGGTACCACCCCGGTTCGAGCCGGCTCATCCGTGCGACAGCAAAAGCTGCCGCGTGGCTCCACCACTATTAGCTTTTTTAAATGATAACATAGTAAAATTATCGGTTGTGAGACATCACATTTTAATCCTCAAAGTGACAACGGACCTGCAGTGTGATCGTCCAACTCTTGTGGGAATCGTTTGCTGGTGGTTGTTAATGTTTTTTTTTTTAATTATGACAATATTGTGATTTCTTATATTTACGCAAACATTAAACTTTTAACTACACATTAAATGAAACGTCGGTGATTAAAAAGTAAAAATTAAACGTGATAAAATCCGTAAAATTTGTTACAATTAATGATAATGATATTGTCTAACCTAAAATGAGATATAAATGTAAAAAGACATCGGCTCATAATCAATACTTTGATTATATCATTCGTTAATCAAAGAATCGATACTGAATACTGATACAAATACTACTAATACTAAAACTCAACGTTAAACGTAGTGGGGGAATTGTGGTTGTCTTTGTATTGTTAAAGACAACGACGATTCCCACTATAGTTACACAATGCAGACTGTCGTTATCCTTCTTTCATTCCTTTGGGTTTGGCTTGAGATGTCCAAAAGGTGCACCACTGCAGTGCTAAATATGGTTACGGTTATGGTCACAGCAACCACTTACCATCAGGTGGGATGTGTGCGCGTTTGTCACCCTATCCTATAAAAAAAATATAAATAAAATGAGAACATCATCAATGTGGTCGAAATAAATTAAGTACGCATTATTAAGGATAACTCAAAAACTACTGGTCAGATTTTGATCAAATTTGCATGGCACCACATGAGAAGCGCCAGCTTTCAAATAAACACAGAATCATCAAAATCGGTTCACCAAGAAACAGTTCTGAGGTAACACACATAAAAAAATACAGTCAAATTGAGTACCTCCTCCTTTTTTGAAGTCGGTTAAAATTTATGTTGTTTCATTAAAACTAAACTAGCAGTGGTTATTATATGCACACTATCTTAAAACTAACAACTACAAAATAAAAACCTAGATTCAACTTATTGCCATTTTTAAAAATTTAAAAGCTTAACCGTGCGCAAGTTTTATATTATTAAACACATTTACAACGAAATGATCTTGAAACTTGGTTATAATTGCATATTTCCCACAGTCGACGTTTAGAGCAGGTGCTTAGAAAACATTAATGTGCGTCGTTTATCGAAAACAAGTTTGTGTGTCAAGACCATGAAATAAACAATTTTATTCAATCTATGAACGATTTAATCTCGACTATGGGTACACAATAACATTAAGTTGACGCCGAAAGTGATTACAGAATAAGTTATTTTATTGTACTTAACATTCTGTGTTTTATCACATTTATATACATACGTATTGAAAATTAACTACGTACTTTGAACTGTTTGTGGAAACAAAGGCGCAAACATGTGGTGAGTCCAATTTTTATTTTGTTTACTTTATAAGTTGATTTAATTATTGAGCACTAAAAGCTCAAGCACTGGGGAAAACAGCAATATACTTCAATTCAGTTTCATGGTATAATAATATTCTTAAGAGATTTACTTCATTATTAAAATAAAAACTTTTTGTTAAATCACCTTGTGCACAAGTGACGCTCGGTGAAACGTACAAAACACTGAATGTCGCACTACATTCGTTAGTGAATAAGTTAATTATTAACTGTTAATACAATCCGTACTACTCTCGAGGATCACTTGTCTCTTTTTATTGGTTAAAATCAAGTTTATACATAATATATTCATTGAATAATAATTTATTCACTTAGTCATATTTAAGAGCTCAACGAGATGTAGCCGCATCTTTAGAGATGTTATAATACAATGTAATTGTAACTAACACTGTGACGACTCAGTAGCGAAATAGCTAAGCTTTGATAGCAGCGTTGCGAACCGCGGATTCGAACCACGCACGCACGGAACAAGTATTATGACCCAGAAATAGTTCTTCCCTGTGTGAATGTTTGTCCATGTGGATATTATATAAATGTCTCTACGATACAAGGGAAATTCCTAGTTTGGGCGTGTGCGTGTAAACTTGCGGGACTATAATATCGCCAGCGTAGTTAAGAGCATTCGAGAGTATTCACATATATACATACATACACATTAATACAAAGTTAATAAAAATCGTATTAATAATACAACACTGGTATAAACCTAAGCGTACAGTAAAGTTATAAAAACTATGTTAGGTACTTAAGCATGCGCAAAAACATGTGGGGTCAAAAGGATAAAAGGTCATAGCTGCCACTTAACTGAGTAATAAGTAGGGAAAAAACCTTGAATTATCTAATTCTACCATTCGAAACACTAAGCTTCAAAGAGAAGATTTAGGAATATACGTTATAGGTTCAATTATAATGAAAAACGAACATTACAAATATAATTTAAAATTTAAAATTTTGTACAGTCGACTTCAATATAAGTTATTAAGAATAACTCAAAAACTATTGGTCGAACCTTGATCAAATTTATATGGGACCACTTGAGAAGCACCAGCTTTCAAATAAATAATTTAATATTAAAATTTTTTAACCTCCGACTTCAATATAAATTATTAAGAATAACTCAAAAAGTATTAGTCAGACCTTGATCAAATTTATATAGGACCACACGAGAAGTACCAGCTTTCAAATAAAAAAAGAATCATCGAAATCGGTTCACCCAGTAAAAAGTTATGAGGTAACACACATAAAAAACATACAGTCGAATTGAGTACCGTCTCCTTTTTGGAAGTCGGTAGAAAACAAAATTCACAGACCATTCAGTCAATCTGTCCTTAATTATTTTCTTGACAACATTTTAAAATTCTTTGGCAAAGATCTCTACTCTGTGCGACTTTTTGATCATAGACTAATATGCGTTTGACAATAAGGGCTAATAATCTTACGCTCAACAGTTGTTGGGACTAAGGTGAACTTATTTGTTACGCAGACGATCCAGAGCATTTAATTACAAGTTTTTCGGTTTCTAGTGCATGTACATATATACACAAAACAACGCCTCATTGCTACGTTATTTGAATTTTACACATTATTAACTTTATTTTAATTATTTATAAAATTAATTTAATATTATTTAAGTAAGCAAATAAATTATTAAGGTTCGCACCGAATAAGCGCCGCGGAGTCACTCTGCTCTTTAACCCTTTTAGATTAACAGAGGCTTTCATTCATTCGCTCCGTGGCGCAGTGGCTTAGCAAGCCGCGGATACAAATCACGTACAAAACAATAATTAATTGTATGGCCTACAAATAATTGATTCGTGTTTGGATGATTGTCCTTGTGAAATTTATTTATGTAAACTGCCCCCACGATACAGGACAAAATCCCTAATGTGGAGGTAACGTTTTTTAAAAGAAAAAAAAAAGAAAAACAATTTTTTATTCACATACAGCCTACCAAACGAACACTGCAGTCTGACACTGACACTGAACACTGCTGAACACATAGACTCTCCCAAGATTGCCTCATAGGGGAAATTTTGCCGTAGCTGTCACGCTTAGCTAGCGAGTTGACAAACGCAGTTTTTTTTATTATTTTCGGTTGTTATCAGGAAGATGCTGCTGTTCATTACTTGTTTCAGTTTCCTTCTGTCGCTTCTTACGACACACCTGGGATAATATGTGGTAGTATATAATCTTATGCAGCTTGTAAAACAGCATGAAAGAGATAGAAAATATAAGAAGAGACTTAATAATTCTTTTAGAAAAAAATCACAAAAAAATTTACACGAACCTGTATGGAGCATTTCATCAACATTTTGATGTGAATTCTGTAAGGACACTTGTTCTTGCGCCAAAAAGTCGACGTTAATAGCTGTGTGATCGTGACCAAATCTTCGGCTTAGTAACTGTTCCCTGTCCGCCAGTTCCTGCTCCCGTCTGCGCCTTTTGTTTTGTGCATTTTGAAGCGATGCCTTCAGAAGGTGTCATTTTATAATAAAAAAAAACAAATCATGATAGCATGGTAACATTAAATAACAAGATAAAGAAGCCGTGGTAGCTCAGAGGCTAAACGCTCGCTGTAAATTTACAGTACGCGAGCAAACCGGGTTCGATCACCGCCGGCAACAATGAAATTGTTAATTGTAATTTTAATTGCTTATTTATCACGTGCTCGGCGGCGAAGGAAAACATCGTCAGGAAACCGGCATGTCTGACTAAAAACCCTCTCAGAAATGAGAGGAAGCCAGCCAGTGCGCCCAGCAGTGGGACCTATATAGGCTGTAACTTTAAGTTGTGATAAGGAGCAACACGCTGGTCTATTACAAGTAAATGTGACAAACGATCGCACAATTTACTTGAAGATAAATGGTCTATGGACCACAACAATAAAAGTAGAATACATAACATTATAGTTCCAGTAGATTATAGGAAATATTAAAAAAGTCTAGAAAAGAAATATTAAAAAAGAGACGCCCTAGACGAAGGTTTATCGACCAAATCGACGATACATTAAAAATGGGCCAGATTAGGAGTACCCTTAACCGACGAGCGTGTATGCGGCGTATTGCGTAGATATATGGATGTAAAGGAGGCGAGAGAGGTGTGTCAGGATCGCGTCAAATGGAAGTCCGTAGTCTCTGCCTACCCCTCTGGGTGACAGGTGTGAGTGTTTGTGTGTGTGTGTAAAAAAGTCTATCGAGATCATATCTATTTAAATTTAGCCGGTATATTATTGCCAATTTATCCCTAGCCTTTGTGGGTTTCGAAGAGAAAAATAACAGTAAACATTTTATATATTTATGTTTTATGTTTGTTTCATTGACACCGGTACACAGAGACTAGGCACGACCGCGGTTTGGCTTCTCTTTTATCGGTCCATTACAACTAAAAACAATTTTGGTCATGCGCCTGATCTCTCTCCTGGTCGTGTCGAATTACCGCCCCGTCGGACTATCAGAGTAAGGGAATAGAGTGCACCTGTGCTTGTGCATACACTAGGGCACTATAATCCTGACCTGCGCAGATGGCTAGTCTCCGTTGAGACTGGCCGCCGTGACCGAAAACCATTATCCATCATTCATACATTAATTACAGTCTATCGAAAGTCCATTGCTGAACATAGGTATTTCCCATAGGTTACCTCATAGGGGAAACATTTGCCATAGTTCCCTCTCTTAGCAAGTGGGTTGGCAACCGCATTTTTTTATTATTTTCAATTGTTATCAGAAAATAAGCAAAGAATACTGTTGTGTATCTCCTGTTTCATTTTCTTTTTTTATAGAATTAGGGTGACAAACGAGCACACAGTCCACCTGATGGTAAATGGTTGCTGTGGCCCATAGACATCTGCATCTATCTTCGTTTGCGAATTAAAATGCAGATGCGTTGTCAGCTGTGAGGACTAAGATAGAAATGATGGGGGAGGGGGGGCATATTTATAGTTAAATTAGGGCTGTCGAAACTCTAAATCAGGCACTGGTTGTGACCTCGAGGACTAAGATGGAATGCACCGTATCCAGTAAAAGGGGTCTCCGGTTCTCTACACTCACAATACGAAACACAGCAGCATTAAGCTGCTATTTCTCTTATTACCTTATTTGAAAATTAAATTTACAAAAGCGAGACACGTATATTGATTCATTTATGTAGAATTATAGGTTCCCTCTATGCACACATATGTGTATGTAACAAGTGGGATACCGGAAGTAAAGACTGTGTAAGAACCTCCGTAAGAGGCGGAGTTATAGCCAAAATAAGAATTTTTTTTTTTTATATTTGGCCATTTTGACCCCCTAGGAGTGTAATGAGAACTTTTTGTCCCTATTTAACCATGACCCCCATGACATCCTCTACATGGCTACTCAAACTGACTAGGCCTAAAGTTCGAGTCACCTCCCAACTCATTTCTAGTCATTACTTCCAAATTATGTGGGTAGAACTGGCCATTTGTAAACGATATAATAAAAAATAAGTACATATTTTGAAAATGGAACTCTACCAATATTATTGCGTATTAATTTGTCATTTGTTTACGATTTGGCGGCAAATTGAAAATTGTCTGTCAGCATGAATTTAACGCGAGAAAATTTTTGAACAATGATTTTTTATGACTTTTGAGATCATTTAAGTCAACAAGAAAGTTATGATAAACTTCGATTGACCTTTCACTAAGCCCCATCTCGTGCCACTGCACTGTTTACAACTGGTTTAATGAGTTTAAACGTGGTCGCACTAATCTCACCGATGATCTGCGTGAGGGACGGCCTTCTACGGCGACGACTGAAGATAACATCAATGTTGTGCAGCGTATGATAGAGACTGACAAAAGAGTGACTTATCAGCAGATTCGAACAAGCTTAGGCATCGGTATGAGTCAAGTGCACAAAATCCTCCATGAACATTTAGCGGTCAGGAAGCTTTGTGTGCGGTGGATACCTCATAATTTGAGAAAGGCCCAAAAACTCCGTCGTGTCGATTGGTGTCGTGAAATGATTCAAAGATTTAACGGAGGTGACTCAAATGCTGTGGTCGACATACTTACAGGTGACGAAAGCTGAATTTATTGTTATTTATCCTGAAACTAAGAGACAGTCTGCTGTCTGGGTGTTTCCTTCCGAGGAGTTGCCAACTAAAGTGAAGAGAGATCGAAGCGTGGAAAAAAATATGGTGGCCTGGTTCTTCGGAAGAACAGGTCATTACTCAACAATTGTTTTAGAGGATCGACAAACAGTTACTGCAGAGTGGTACACTAACAATTCTTGCCACTTATCTTAGAAAAAGTTCGGGAGAAACAACCTCGCAGTACGATCCTCCTTCACCACGACAACGCCTCGTCGCACACCGCCAAGCAAACAATCTTGGCGACGTCAGACGTGGAATTACTAGGTCACCCGCCCTATAGCTCCGACCTTGCACCTTGCGATTTTTATTTATTTTCGAAAATAAAACAAAAACTTCGTGGAAAACGTTTTATGGACGCCCAGGAAGTAGTGGCTGCGTTTCAAAATGCCGTCGAAGAGACCCCTAAGGACGAGTGGGCGAAGTGCTTTTCTCATTGGTTCCATCGGATACAGCGATGTATTGATGTAAATGGACACTATTTTGAAAAGATATAATAAAACTAATAACTTGCTAGTTTGTTCAGTTTTTCATTTTCTAAGAACTTTCAGTGTCACCCTCGTAATGCCAATGGTATAAGTTTCATTTAATTCTGCAAGCCCTCACCAACAGAAAGAAAGCAATAGCAAATGATGAAAAATCGAAATGAATTGTATAAATATCTATCATTAAGCACCTTGGTGGATGATTATAATGACCGAATAAAAAAGAAAGAAAATGGTAGGAATCTTTAATGGGAAACTATGGACTAAGAAGGTAAAGCAAGTACTGAAAGATGTTTATAAATATAGTAAAAGAACAGAATCTTTCATAATCCATCAAAGGAATGGATATAATAATCAGATGGAAAATACCGAAATAATAAGGAAATACATATATTTTACTGGCTGGCCCGGCAGACGTTGTAATGCCCTTTACGGTAGGTGTCGAGATGTTCGACTGAGATTCACTCCAGACTTTTTACAGAATAAATAAAAAAAAATACTAACATGACCACAGCGCCACCTACCGAGTGCAGATTTTGTGATTTTCTTTTTTGGCATTAACCCCGCGACTTCGCACGTGTGGAATTTATTACGATTACATTTCATGGGTTTTAATTTTTATGCGCGGAACCTAATTCGTTTTCTAAAATAAAAGTATATGATACTCCTTATAACATCAGCTATCCCGTCAAAATCGGTCCAGCCATTTCGGAGATTAGCCCGACGGAACAAACAGACAGACAGACATTTAATAAAAAGCTGTTATTTTGATATTACAAACAGACACTTCAATTTTATTTATTCGTATAGATGTTAGTGCTGTTAGCCTATTTGGTTTTGACAGCTTCACACCGCGAGCTGTTTAAAAGGAGGTAAAGGCGATGATGATGATAATTATGGTGGTGGTGGTGGCGGTGATGATGATGATGATGGTGTTGGTGGTGATTATTTATGATTTGGTTTTGTTATCTATCACCATTTCCCCTCTGTGAGGGTTTTTTGAGCTATTTAACCGCTGCCCGAGGGGGAATACGGACCCCCGCCTCTGACTGCTTAGCTTGTGTTGGTTGTCCGGGTGAATAAGAGTCATTTTGGTCTATACATATAGATTTTGTAAAGTACTTGACTACAGCGCCACCTATCTGTATCTAGTTATGAACCATTGTCACAATCAAACAATATAATGTGTGAATATGACCTCAAACAGTCAAATTGTTCAGAAGTAACACAATCACTAACAAATTCACCATCAATTACATATATGTATATTTCAATCACTCTACTGGCTGTGGGAAGGCGACACTGAATATATGAGTGAAATTTTCTCAATTTATATGGAACAATTCCTGAAGTATAAACTATTTAACCAAAAAAGAATCATTAAAATCAGTTCACAATTGACAAAGATATCACATAACCACCATCCAAAACAAAGAAAACCATTTTTTTTAAATATGGGATAAGGGTGACAAACGAGCACACAGTCCACCTGATGGTAAGTGGTTGCTGCGGCCCGCCCATAGACATCTACATCTATCCTCTATTACAAATCAAAATGTAGATGTGTTGTCACCCGTGAGGACTAAGATGGAATGCCTCATTTTCAGTAAAAAGGGCCTCCGGCCACCTGCACTCACCAAGCGAAGCGCAGAGGTAAACCTCTACTTCACACTGGTTTTCGGTGAGGTCGTGGTACCACCCCGGTTCGAGCCGACCCATCCGTGCGACAGCAAAAGCTGCCACGTGGCTCTACCACTGTTAAATACCTACAGTTTAATTGTTAACCCCATTTTTTTGGCTAACTATTTTACTGATTTTATCACATTTAATTGGCAGGTGGGATGGCAACCGCAGTTGATATTAAGAAGTTGCAGCCCAACTGCTGGTTTGTTTGACTCTATCACCTCTTACGACACTGGACTATATGGGATGATGGAAATACTAACACCACCACTTCTTATTACTTAATATTATGCTGGATTAACAACTAACATTTACTACAATGAATTGTACTCATTACAAAAAACTAACTAACGAATATTCTTTAACAAAAAGCTGCAGAATGAAGAAGCATTATATCTTTAAATAGAACAATGGGTAGAATATATAATAAGATTCATTCATACATAAGGTTCATTTTGATTATGATCAACCATATTCCCGCTACTATGTGCATACTGTGACTCCCAACGCATGCAACTTGCATGGCCATTCGTCGGGAATTGCGATATTTGACTCGGAAGAAATAGATAGATAATGTAAACAACAAATAAATCCGAAATACAATTCCTAACAGAAATGTGATCTTATTCTACTTAGTTAAAAATCTTCTGAACAAAGTTTTAATTTTAACATTTTGTGTTATAATAACTTAAAATATTTTAATTACAAAAAGCAAGTATAGGTATGTAAGTAGGTACTTGGATAGTTAAGTAAATTTCAACTAACTTTTGTAATAAAGTACTTAGGTATTACTTCTGTAGTTAAAATTACTTAATCCTGTTTTTGCTATAAGTACTTATCTAACAAAAAAACGAAATATACCTATTCACCTTTCATTATCCTTCAGTAACTTACAAAATGATATATCTGAATCCTTTTGTTTGCTCATTAAGTATCCATCCCCGCAACAATTATAGTAGGAACAACGTTTTGCCATTATAATTTATCAAATAGATAGGTAATATACATACCTATATCATAGATTACTGTATACCAGTCTACGAACCTATATACTATTCTTAAATTACATTAAAACACTTTCAACTATTTTATCCATCAATTAAATATACTTAACACAAAACAAAAAATGTTTCGACAAGTATTTCAACAAGCATTTACAAAAAACTATTTACATAAACAGTGTTAAAACCTTTAACATTCAATCACTAAGAACAAGCTAGTCCCGACTGCATTCTATCCCGGGGGCACATTGCAGTTGTAAGTAATTATTTCACACAGGTAGCAAGAGTGACAGAGGCCTGGTATTAGTTTAAATAGACTATATAAATATATAAATAGTATGTACACTCACTACATATTAGTATGTTTTACCTAATTACAAAATTTGGTGAAGTACCAGATATTTGTAACTTACAAGTTCCTATATTTAACAACCTTTATATTTTACAACTAGCATGTTTTTATATACCAAACAATTTACTTATTTGTTTTACTTTTACAACATCAAATGTACAAACAGTACGAAAGGAGGAAAGAAGGTGACATAAACATAACACCAAGGTTGGAAAATATTTATGTGATTGATCACAACATATTATATATAAATATAGCACTTCTACAGTTCTTTGCAAGAATGACCCATAGCAAGCATTACTTGGAAGTTAATGTCTATTATGAGTACAAACCTCAAACTCAAACTAATAAGTTTGATACCCATCCCTAACATGTAAATTTTGGGTTCAACTTATTTGGATAGTTTTTCCACCGTCAGTTACAAAAGCCTTGCACATCAATCGGCAAAGTGCACCACATATAGGAAAGATTGGTGTTTGGTGAAATTTGTCATATTTCCTCTTACATCCTTTAATATATATTCACATTTTCTAAATTACCTGTATATGTTTGTTGTCATATTTTAATTGATCGACCCTCATTTTTGCCACAGATCTTTGATTGATTGGAGTCTTGAATACAAAGATATCTAATTTTTCACAATTTCTGCAATTTAAAATCAATATTTTACTTTCCTGCAGTACGTAAAGCAACAAAATAATAATGTATTGATTGATTATATTACACTCTCCTTCAATTTGCTTTTTTAATATTACATTAAGTATTGTTACTTACGCGCTAATGGCATTAATTTTGGATTGTATTGCATTTTCAATATTTTCCGAAGGGTCTCCCTCTAATTTATGAAATAAATCTGTAGTTTCTTGTATTAGCTTAGTTGTTTGATGGTATAATGTTTCCATTTTATCTCAAAACTTATATAAACAATGCATGACACAGGAGTAATGTTGCCTCTGTATGAGAAATATTACGTTTAATAAATAAATCACTTTCTTCAATTATGTTTAAGACTTTGTAACTGATATTATTTAAAAGTTTAAAAATAAAATTTATATGCCACTTCAACCATCATTGTAAACGTCAGATGTCAGTTTGACGTTGACGTGGCATGACATCATATAATTTTATTTTTTTTATAACTGGCTATACGGCTCTGTGTTCTTACCCTTCTGAGCCTGAAGTTACAATGTATAATTATCCTTCATTGTATACTGCTTCACAATATGTTGATGCGTCACATTGTGCAGCCCTTAGGAGATTTTGACGACAACTTGAGCCAGCACACAGCTAATAGTTGGCGATAGTATCTCAAAGCGGCTAAGCAAACAGACACCTTATCTTGAGAATCACATCACCATCAGAGCACCTGTTTCACCGTTTCCACTAATAGTTCACATGAGTAGCCACTTAATACACAAAATCGCACCACTTTTACATATCAAAATCCACTTCAAACCATCATTTAAACGATAATACAGGAGCAGCAAACCGCCGCCGAACAACTTCCCGCCAAAAGCCCACACATCATATTATTATCATTCTTAGATTGGACCATAGATAAAAAGATATGTATAGTGCGCGCAAGATAACTCTGCGCGCTACTGATTTTTTTTTGGAGTTTATGACCTGGTATCTAGACCTTTAGGCCAAGTCTTGAGTAGTTTTATTCGGTTTATTATAATTTCCCAAATGTATAATTATCCTTCATAGTTCACTGCTTCACAATATGTTGATGCGTCACATTGTGCAGCCCTTGGGAGATTTTGACGGCAACTTGAGCCAGCAGACAGCTGACAGTTGGCGATGGTATCTAAAGGCGCCTATGCAGACAAACAGCTTATCTTGAGAATCCATCACCATCAGAGCACTTGTTTCACCGTTTCCACTAATAGTTCACATGCGTAGACAGTTAATACATAAAATCGCACCACTTTTACATATCAAAATCCACTTCAAACTATTATTTAAACTATAATACAGGAGCAGCGAACCGCCGCCGGTCAAGTTCCCGCCAAAACTCTCTGCGCGCTACTGATGGCGTACTTAATGTTGCCAGCTTAACTAATATTTTTTTCCTTCATTTAATCGCATTACTAGCATTATATAATTATATCAAATTACATAAACGATCGAATTTACTACCAAAGATCAGTTAAAAAAAACTGTAATGTTCAGCTTAAACTTACAAAGACCTAATAAATTTTAAACCCGATATTTATTGTTTAAGAAATCTATAATAATAAATGTTTAAGAAATATATAATAAATACATTTCTTGATTCTAACTTTCGTAACATTTCACTACACAAGTTTCTATGGTAAGACTTACATTAATATAAATTATTGCTTAAGAATCATTTGAAAACATATATATGCAAATATATGCATATATGCAAAATTTCAGATTTTTTTTACATAATTACATTGTAAGACATGACTATTACTAAAATTAATGAACATTGATATTTTGTCTATAATCAATTTTTTTAAAAAGTTATTTTGAAACAGAACTGAAATAGTATTGTAATATTTATTATAAAGAACGAAATAAAAAGTCCATGGAAACCTTGTAAGTATTTTATTGAATACTTAGTATTATTTGTAAATTTGGTGTAACAATGGTCCTGCAGTGGGTCAACGCCTTCCATTCACACATCTTCATGAGAATTCATGCTAGAGTCTTCATCAGTAGACTCGGATGTGTCACCTGTAACATTAATTACAAATTTATCCCTTTCCATATCTATGAGCCTATCTAATTCGAAATAGTAATTTATCTTCTATTTTTTCTACATGTAGACATACATTCAGCCATTTTTTTATCGTTACTGTTCTAAACGCCACCTCAGTAATAGCAGCTGTTACTAGGAGCTTGTGTGACATTTTTCTCTGCAGTGCGCCTCTTTACTATTGCCCAAAATTTTTCGATGGTGTTTAAATCGCAATGGAAAGGCGGTAAACGGAAAAACTCATGTCCATGTTCATTAAACATTTATTCTATTTTATACTGTGAGACTCCTTTGTGTTTTTTGATTACTTTGTATGATTGCGGTTTTGTCCAACAATCATCAAATTGAATACCATTTCTTGTAAGCGACTCTTGGAGCTCTACTTTTGTATTGCCAATTGTTGGTGCCTTGTTAATCTGTGTGCGGTGGTATGACGCATTATCCATTAGTACAATGCAATTCGTTGGTAGATTCAGCACAATTTTTTCTTTCATCCACCGCATGAAGTTAGCGGAATTAATATCGTCATGATAGTCATTGAATTAGTATTCAGACCTGAACAGTAACAGTCCGTTTTCAACAATCCCGGGTTTACCTCCACCATGAGCTACTATCCATCTTGTACCAACGATAGCAATGAACGAAGCAAGAATACCAGGCTGTTCCTCCGATTGCTAACATTTTTGAAGATGGTATGAAGCATGTATATACGTTTTGTCAACATAAATTACATTTTTCAAGATTCTTGCGCAGCCTTAGAATATATTTTGCTCTCCAAGCTGCAGTATCATTGCGTTCTATCAATACTATTCGTTTAGACTAGCCTTTTGTATTAGTAGCCCATATTCTTTAAAATACTCCTCAACGAAGTTCTGCCATATTTAAAATCAATATCAGCTTACAATAGTTTATTTATGGAATCTCTTTCTTGACGACGTAAAACGATTGAATTAAATGCCTTATGGCGCACATATCAAAATCACTAAATCATATTTTTTTCCTCCGGTTCAGAAAAACCTAAAACAAAATAAAAACAATGCATTATAAATACATGATATTAATGACACGAGGAAATTAAAAACGAGAAAATTGGGGAGTTTTATTGTTATGGCAGCCCTAAAAATTACCTATTAAATGTGCAACGCGGGCTTTAACTTTGGAAAACGGTACTGTTACTGTAACGGTACGCGTTTGACCTTCAAGATAATACCCCTGCAAGCACTTTTAATCACTTTCGGCATAATGATAACGATTATTTACTGCAAAAACGAATAAAACACGCCACCTAATACTTAGTTTTGACACCTGCCAAAAACAGTAAGATGGCTGTACACGATTAGTTCCAATTTTTGCCGCGCGCAGAGTTATCTAGCAAGCTAGACTGGACTTATACATCCAGAATGCCTTTCTGAATTCATAATGTAAAATTCATATCATTAGTTAAGAAAGCCCGGATTGCATACAATTTAACTATGCTCCACACACATTCTGATTTTTTCAGATTATGATTTTCTCGATCTGTAAGAATGACACTGACTAGCGTTCTGAATTCCGGATCGGAATATTTAAGATAATGCTTTCATAACGCGCGTTTTTCTATACATTTGAGCACGCAAGCACACACACACACCGAAATGAGATTATGAATTATATCATTTGACACTGGGATCGGTAACGGACAGACTGTTGTTACTTGTGAAGTTGTAATGTAGAACTGACTTTCCCTTACTCTATTCACATAAGAGGATGAATCCAGTGTATTCGCTTGCGTCCGTTTTAAGGGTTCCGTACCCGATGGGTAACCAACAGGACCCTATTACTAAGCCTCCCCTGTCCGTCCGTCTGTCTGTCAGCGGGGTGTATCTCATGATCCGTAATAGGTAGACAGTTGAAATTTTCACAGAATGGGTATTTCTGTTGCCGCTATAACAAAATAAATTAAAAATTAAAGGATGCTCCCTAGGAACATCTATTATGATGGTACGGAACCTATCATGCGCGAGCTCGACTCGCACTTGGCCGGTTATTTTATTATTTAAAGCTAAAAGTAGTGCCATGACTATTATTATATATTCCTCTTCCATAACGTACGTACGCCTGGGCCAGAAACACGAGACTACAGATTTATCTGAATTTTTAAGATATGTGTGATGGGACCTATACGCGAAATACGTTAAATTAGAGTGGCGCTATTCAGCAGCAGGGTAAATTTTAAAATTATTTTTTTTAACTTAATTTAGATTTTAATCAATAAATTTTTGTTCAAAATTAGAGAACAAAATTACATAAAAAAATAATTAAATTTTTGGATGGAAAAATTATTACATAATTTTGATCGCATCCAGCGCAGAGTGGTTCGAATCACCGGCAACTGAGCTCTTTCTGATCGGCTAGATTTGCTGCTGCGAAGAGATGTTCTCTTTGCAAATTTTATCGCATTTACCACGGGAAGTGCTCTGAGAAATTGTTCCGACTTTTCCAATTTCACCATCGCCCATCGCGACAAAATTCGCGTTCATGGGTGCTTATTTCAAACGTCCCCATGCAATTTTAGATGCGGGAGCTGCGTCGAAACATTTAATATAATTTTCTAAAAATATTTATAAATCACTAATTAATACCTGAAACGGAGCTTTTGAAATTGACAGTAACCAGTAACAGATTATGGAATGTAGAAAGAAGGAGGACCATCTCTATATAAGAAAAGTGTCACTAAAAACGTGTCCAATAAGGGTGGCGCTGCAGAAGCATTTTTTTATAGGATAGGGTGACAAACGAGCACACAGTCCACCTGATGGTAAGTAGCTGCTGTGGCCCATAGACATCTACATTTATTCTCGTTTGCGAATCAGAATGAAGATGCGTTGTCACCCGTGAGGACTAAGATGGAATGCCTCTTTTCCAGTAAAAAGGGTATCCGGTTCTCTACACTCACCATACGAAACACAGCAGTGTTAAGCTGCTATTTGACGCTGGTATTCTGTGAGAGCGTGGTTCTTCCCCGGTCGAGCCGACCCATTTGTGCTACAACTATACAACTAATATAGCTACAGCATGGCCGTATCACGTATAAAATAGTGTTACAAGCTTGAGGTTCGAGACAATTAAAAACTGCCGATTGAATTACCAAATTTGACACTTTAATTACGGATACTAATTACACCTTAAAACACACTAATAATAAAACACAATAATTCTACTGATCACTTAAGTTCGCAGTTGTTTCGCTTCGAAGTATTCTCTTGTATCGCCAATTCAATACTGCCCCGGTCGTGGTCTATACCGGCCTTATAAAGGGCCTCAGATAGTTTCCAGAACTTTCTACTGTAGCGACATCTAGAATGTTCGAGTACATATCGGTCCCGAAATTTCTGGAAGGATCTAGACTCTCCTAGTTCTGCTACTCGACACTAGAGGGCGCTAGTGTAACTAGTGTTGCCATGTACAAGACATTAATAGTGGCGCGCAACACTGCCCCCTCCTAAGACATGCTCGTCCCGAGCATTATTGGCCCCATAATAACGCGCCAGTCGATCCACATGGACAATCTTAGGAGTACCTCTGGCACCTTTCTGTATCCGGTAGGTTACATCATTGATCCTTGTCACAATCCGGTACGATCCGTCCCATTTAGCTTGAAGCTTAGGAGATTTCCCTTTGCTGCGAACTGGATTGTGTAACCACACTAGTGAACCTTCATCAAACCCCTTGTTGTTCATTTTGCGGTCATACTGTGTTTTCATCTTCTCAGACGTTTGCTGGCCCGTCTATCTGACGTGCTCATAAATGTCATTCATTTTGTTCCGCAAGTCATTTGCATAATCGGTTATACTGCGTGGGGCATCAGGTGGTATTCCGGTGATCAGGTCTGCAGGCAGCCGCAATTCTCTCCCAAAGTTTGCGAAAGCTGGTGTCACTGATGTACTTTCGTGAACAGCGCTTCGATATGACAACAAAAACGGTTGTATGTGCCTGTCCCAGTCTCGTTGCCGTTTTTCCACAACCTTTGGTAGGTACGTCTCCAATGTCTGATTAAATCTTTCTACCATTCCATCAGATTGTGAGTGGTAAGAAGTTGTTCGTGTTTTCTGAGTACCCATAACTCGGCAAGTTTCCTGGAATATTTGAGACTCAAAATTCCTTCCTTGATCGCTGTGAATCTCTAAAGGTACTCCAAAACGACAGAAGACTTCATGAACTAGTTTATCTGCAACTGTTGAAGCTTCTTGATTTGGAATGGCGAAGACTTCTGGCCACTAAGTGATGTAATCCATCACTGCCATGAAATACTTGTTACCACTTTCAGTTTCTGGAAACGGCCCCGCAACGTCAATGGCTATCCTCTCCCATGGTGCACCAACATTGTACAATTTCAATGCGCCTCTACTACGAATTTGAGGTTCCTTTGCAGCCGCACAATTTGTACATTTGCGGCACCAGTCCTCGACATCGTCACGACAGTGGACCCAGTAAAACCGTTCTCGAATCTTCAGGAGAGTTCGTTTAACTCCCAGGTGGCCTCCTGAACAACCACTATGGTACAGCTGTAGAACAACCGGCACTTTAGCCTTAGGGACAACCATTTGCAAATGACATCTGTCTCCCCGACCATTTTCCCATTTACGGCACAGGACTCCATCCTGAATCAGCAAGCTGTCCCATTCGGCCCAATAGCTTTTCATGGTCGAACTTATTGCTGAGACGTCGCTCCACTTGGGCTTAGGACCACTGGCCTTCATCCATTCCAGAATCGGCTTAATGTCCGAATCTTCCTGCTGTGCATGTTGTAGGCTGTCCTTCCCCTCATTGCTAAGCTGGTCTGTCCTGTGCATCCTCACAGATACCACTTCCTTACCCTCTTGCCTAGTACAATGCTTGCAATCTTCAGGGCAAGGTCTTCTTGACAATGCATCTGCATTGCCATGAGATTTCCCACTGCGATGTTCGATCACAAAGTCGTATTCCTGCAGTAGTTCAATCCATCTCGCAACTTGTCCTTCCGGATTTTTGAACTGCAATAGCCATTTCAGTGCAGCATGGTCAGTTCGTTCGTTTCCGCCCTAGAAGATATTTGCTAAAATGCTGCAAGGACTTTACCACAGCAAGCAATTCCCGTCTTGTGACACTATAGTTCCTATCAGGCTTTGACAAGGACTTGCTGAAGTACGCTATCACAATCTCTTGATCTCCATTCCGTTGAGACAACACACCGCCAAGTCCTATATCACTTGCGTCTGTGTCAACTATGAATTCTTTGCCCGCATCAGAGTACCCCAAAATAGGTGTTTTGCACAGACGGTTCTTGAGCTCCTGGAATGCAATATCGCAACTTTCATCCCAGCAGAAATGTCGCTTCTCCTCGGTTAGCTTGTGCAGAGGTTTGGCTATATCTGCAAAGTTCATCACAAATCGCCGATAATAAGAGCACAAACCCAAAAATGCTCTAACCTGTGTCTTGTCTTTTGGAACCGGCCACTCCTTGACAGCGGCAATTTTCTCTGGATCCGTGCGGATACCTTCTTCCGACACTACATACCCCAAAAAACTAACTTGCTGTTTGAATAGTGAGCACTTCTTCGGACTCAACTTGTTGGCACTCTGGATCTTTGGGAGCACACGTTCCAGGTTTTGAAGGTGTTCCTCAAACGTACGGCCTACGATGATGATGTCATCCAAATAGACCAGACAGGCATCTCCAATTAGCCCGGTAAGTACAAGCTCCATCAACCTTTCAAAGGTTGCTGGAGCATTGCACAATCCAAACGGCATGACTTTAAATTGCCACAGACCCTTTCCTGTGGAGAATGCAGTTTTCTCCTTGTCCTTAGGGTCAATTTCAACCTGCCAGTAGCCACTTTTCAGATCCAGCGTACTAAACCGCTTTACGCCTGTAAGCATGTCCAGCGTGTCATCAATTCTTGGCAAGGGATAGCTATCCTTCTTTGTAATGTCGTTCAGGCGGCGGTAGTCAACACAAAACCGCATGCTGCCGTCCTTCTTCTTTACCAGCACCACAGGTGAACACCATGGACTAGATGAAAGTTCAATAACACCATCCTTCACCATTCCCTCAATCATGGTTTCCACTTCCTTTTCACGTGCCACAGGCAATCTTCTTGGCCGCTGACGAATAGGCAATTCTTGTCCTGTGTTTATTTTGTGTTGAACTAAGCCAGTCTTTCCTATGTCAGCTTCGTTTGACGAGAAAACATTGGCGTACTTGAGTAACAACTTCTTCGCCTTGACCATTTCATTCGGGGAAAGAACGCTGCGACAGTCTTCTAAAAGTGTGGTCACTCTCGTTTGTCCATCTTTGCTCGGGGTCCCGGTCGATAGATATTCGCACCGACGCAACCAATCCACTTCCTCACTAGTACCAACCAATGTGCCTTTTTCTATAATCTGTTCCTGATCACAAAGGTTCAACACACGTACTCCTGAGATGTCGGTGGTTCTGACCAAGGTTCGAGCCACTTTCCATGGAAGGTCATTGTCTACCCGTTTCACGAGTACACAACGATGAACTTGCCCAGGACTCCGAGGAAGACTAACCGGCACAATCGTTTCCGATCTCGGCGGAAGAACAATCTTCTTAAGGCTATACACATTCCCTGGTAACGCCCCTTCCACGAAAAGTTCCTCTTGTCCACATTTCAAAACACCTTGCTTAACGTCGATCTCACAACAATTCTTCCTCATAAAGTCTAGGCCCAGGACGCAGTCGTCCATTATATCAGCCACGATGACATTATGCAGGTAGATCATGTTGCCTAGCTTCAACTCCATCTCTTTCTCTCCACGGACGGGTATGCGCTGACCGGTGGCTGTCACCAAATTAATGCGTTCTCGGTTGTATGCGGAGTCCCCAAGGAACCGACTTATAAGTTGGGAACTGACAACCGTGCGAGAGGCTCCAGTGTCTATGGTCAGTTTACACGGCGTTCCGTTGACTTCGCCCTTGATGATTAGGCTGTTCCCATCATGGGTTTGTGAGATTGAAATCCTTGGGGCTCTTTTAACATCAGCCAGCACCCGCCCCGCAGTCCTGGCTTTTACTCGTTTCCCTGCTGCTGCTGGGCAGTGCTATTATCCGCACTGCCCTCTCGAGATCGATCACCTTCCCTATCTACAGTTCGCTTAGGGCAGCTGGATCGAAGATGGCCCCTTTCCCCACAGCCGTAGCACCTAGGGCTGTAGCCCTTATTGCGGTCCTGAACTGTAGCTGCTGCAACCTCCCTGACGCGGTGGGAACGATGATCCTGCCGCACGGCTTCCACCTCCAGTGCATGGGTCAAGGCGTCCTTAAGTGTCTTGTGGTGCCCGAGCCTCACAGCAGCTCTGACTTCAAGGTCGCGGATGCCGTCGATGAATGTCTGCACCAGGTCCCCTACAATGAGCGCAGGTACAGACTGGTACGCTTTTCGAACCAGCTTCTCCACCTCAAGGGCCCGCTGCTGCAGGTTTTCTTTACTGCGTTGCACGCGATCTTTAAGCTGCGCACGAAAGATGTGTTCCAGGTGTACATCGCCATATCTCACCTCCAATGCCTCAAGGAGCTGCTCGTAAGTCACTTCCTTACCAAGAGCTTCCAGAACAGTTAGTGCCTGGTCGCGTAGGCCTAGGGTGAGAGTTGTCATGGCCTGACTTTTATTCCAGCCGTTCGCTTTCATGACAGCCTCGAATTGGATTTTGTAGTCCGACCAGGAAGAACTCCCGTCGAACGGCGGCGCTTTGAATCCACGTAGCGAAGGTGTTGTAGCTACCACGGGTACTGTAATTCCATCCCCAAGTTTGAGGTCGTCCAGCGTTTTCTTCACATCAGCCATCACGTTGTCAACCCGATTGTTCACTTGGTCGATTCGGGTTTCAGCTTCCGACAGGCGGTTGTCATGTTGAGCAACCCTATCCTTCACCTCCTTTATCTCTTTCCCGAAGGTAGCGTGTAGGTCCTTCCTGAGGAGCATCTGTTCTTCCATACCGCGCTGCAGCTGCTCTTCCAACCGACGGGTCTGTTCCTCCTGTCGGCGGGCCTGTTCCTCCTGTCGGCGGGCCTGTTCCTCCTGTCGGCGGGCCTTTTCCTCCTGTCGGCGAGCCTGATCCTGCAGCATCATCATCAGAGCACCTAAGTCAGGTGCTACAGATGCAGGAGCTGCTGACGGGCCAGCCTCCGTGGTTAGCAGCTGGCCCTCCGACGTTTGCGGCGTTGCATTACCAAATCGTCTCTGGTCCGTCTCCTGTTGGCGTTGACTTCGGGTTCGGATACCCTCCGTGTCGTCTTTAGGTAAAATCGGCATATTTGATCCCACTTCTGACACCAATTGTTACAAGCTTGGTGTTCGAGACAATTAAAAACTGCCGATTGAATTACCAAATTTGACACTTTAATTACGGATACTAATTACACCTTAAAACACACTAATAATAAAACACAATAATTCTACTGATCACTTAAGTTCGCAGTTGTTTCGCTTCGAAGTATTCTCTTGAATCGCCAATTCAATACTGCCCCGGTCGTGGTCTATACCGGCCTTATATAGGGCCTCAGATAGTTTCCAGAACCTTCTACTGTAGCGACATCTAGAATGTTCGAGTACATATCGGTCCCGAAATTTCTGGAAGGATCTCGACTCTCCTAGTTCTGCTACTTGACACTAGAGGGCGCTAGTGTAACTAGTGTTGCCATGTACAAGACATTAATAGTGGCGCGCAACAATAGCATAGGATAAAATTAAAAAAAAATGTGCCAAAAGTAATTAAAATAAGATGGAGAAATATTATGTAATTCCTTACCAACTCAACGACCCGGATTTGATAATTCTCATTTTTGCACTATACCTGGAAATGATTCAGCACCCGATTCAGAACATATTTTCTTTGGCTCCCATCGATTTTGCTCTTCAACATTTAAGTTAAATGTTACAGACGAAAACACAATAGCCAAAATAATTAATTCACTTAAGTCAAACGCTTTGGGCGCTGACGGTTTATGCCTGGATATGGTTGTTTTAACACTTCCTTACACGCTAAAAGTAATTAAATCCCCCGCTTGATTTCTCACGGGCTTTCGAGTCTCTTAACATCGAATTATTATTGTCCAAGCTTTCCTATTATAGATTCGATCCGACCGCAATCAAGTGGTTCTCCAGTTATCTAAATGATCGCATGCAGTTGGTTAAAATAATTAAAAACGTAAGTACACATTCTCTATCAAGTCCTTGTCCTGTAACGAGAGGAGTTTCCCAAGGAACTATACTAGGCCCTCTTTTATTCATACTGTATATAGCAGATATTAGTACAGCTATTCAGAACTGTAAATATCATATGTATGCAGACGATTTGCAGGTATATCTTTCCTTTGTACCAAGTCAAACTAACTGGGCTGTTAATAACTTAAATAGAGATCTAACGAAAATCGCCCAGTGGTAAGAAGCCAACACTCTTGTACTCAATCCAGCAAAATCAAAATACATAGTATTGGGATCAAAGCGACAGATAAATAGAATATTTGCAAATAATCCTGATCTGTGTGTCCTCGGGGAGAAGATAAATCGTGTGACTAAAGCTAAAAATCTGGGGTTTCTGATGGATGACGCGCTTCGCTTTGAGAGACACGTGATCGAGATCACACGTAATTGCTTTTACAGACTAAAAGTATTATACCGAATACGTGACTTTTTGAGTGAAGATCTGCGCGTTAAGCTTTGCAACTCCCTTGTACTCTCCAGGCTAAACTATGCCGATACGGTATATGAACCAAGGCTACTTTCTAAAACTGACCGAATAATTCAGGGGATCCAAAATGCTTGTGCCAGGTATATACACCACATTCCCCTACGAACTCACGTCAGTCCCTTTTTAAATAAATCGAAGTTATTAAGAATGTCCCAATTAACAGCACTACATTTAGCAACACTAATGTTCGGTGTCTTTTAAAACAAAAAGCCCGAGTATCTCTTAGAAAAACTAAAATGGCGCAAGGATGGTAATTTTAAGGACATTTGATCAAAATCAAATGTCCTTTCAATACCAAAACACACAACGACAGCATTCCGCGGTAGTTTCCGATATGCAGCTACTAAATGCTGGAATAACTTGCCCCCACCTACCGGCCAACTAAATACCATCAGCCTTTTCAAGGTAACAGTAAAAATAATATTTTTGTCACTTTAACATTTAGGGCGGATAAAATAGCTGCATTATATTTTCATAGTATTATATAAATATCTATATTGTTTTATTGCATATACTCATTATATTATTTATTATATACATTTATATATACCTACTGCATAAATAAAGTTCCCATCCTTTTTCGTTTCCATTATTTTATTTTATTATTTCGATAACATCTTTCTCGAAAATAGAAATAAAGCGAACATACTATCCTCGCGGGCGAGTCCAACCTCAATGGCAATTGCTGAAAACCAACGCTATCGCAATCCTGCGATAGCATTACGTTGAGTCAGTGCCCTTTTCAGCATCACATCACTCATGCAATCGGATCATTTTATGACTGTTTTTTGTTATTTACTTTTATTTTTGATGTTTTTATGTATTATTTTATTTTCTGTATCAAAACTGTATGAGTGTATGTTGCTGAATAAATGCATGTCTATGTCTATGTCTAAATAAACAAGGACCGACCAATCCGCTTGGTTTTGTACTACGTAAATAGTTGAGATTTTGTATACAGGCATTTTACTAACTACTCTAATCATGAATTTTTTTAAATATTTGAATTCAGCTGACTTCACTCCGTTCATAACAGCTTTCTTCATATCGTAGTTTTTCAGACGCCAGCGCTATTGTGGTAGGTTTTGGAACCTCTTTTCAGTAAATAGTAGGACACTTTTTCAACTTTCGCCCCTTATAATATGGTTCTCCTTGTACTCTACACTCCATATAACAGATATATTCGACCAAAGAGTATATAATCACTACTTTTATACTCGACTTCGCGATTCGCGTCATAAGCGTCATTCCGTTGCTTCCGAGTTTACGTGAATGTGCTCCTTATTGTTATTATCTGCCTCCTGTTTTTGAACGACTTCTCTACCCTTCTGGAGACCGATTGCTATTTTATGACGTTTTTGAAAATGGTGGAAGTTAACATTTTGGTGTTTTATTTGGTGCAAGAACGAGCGAAGCGAGCGCAGGACTTGGGGCACCACAACTCGGACAGGTTAGGTTAAAAGGGGATGGCGGAGTCGAGTGAGCAAGCGAAGTGAGCGATCAGACCCCTCCATACCCTTCGTGGTTATTTTTTTATAAACCATCCAGAAATAGGAGCCCCGCAAAGCGGAGCTCCGTAGACCGAGCTTCCCACGACTGCGCCACGTTTAGTGGCGTTGGGCTACCCTCCTCCGACTCTCTGCCCCCATAAATCAGGTTTATATTGTCAAAAACATTACGAAAACATAACCTCAAAATGAGATTTTTAAAAATTTATAAAAAAAACTAATCACTTTCGGCAGGGAATGGAAGTGGGGGGTGACTCTACAACTCCCCTCTCCTCCCCCCACCACCCCCCACCCCCAAATTCAGGCGACTTGATTCTAAACCTTACCCCGCATTATTTATAACATTTAATCCATTAACTAAAATGTGTGTTTATTTAATATCTAAATGTATGATTTTAATATGTCAGAACCATCAGAAGAAAACGAAATAATATTTAAAATATTAAATAATTTATATATAAAGAATATTACAAGGCATTGTTCTAATTTTTAGCGGATTTCCAGGTCAATAAGGTGATTATAAGAGCTTTTTACGTTTAGGGGGAAATATTTTTCGGAGTTGGTAGCACTGCGAAGAGTTAGCAACAGTAGCTTAAACTAAAAGCTAAAACTACTATAAGAAAAGTACTCTGTGACTACTTCCATTGTATAAAAATACTGTGTTTTGGCGCGAACTTGAGCGGCGACGGATTGCTGCTCCTGTATTATTGTTTAATTAATGATTAGAAGTGGATTTTGATATGTAAAAGTGATGCGATTTTGCGTATGAAATGTCTGCGCATGTGAACTATTAATGGAAACGGTGAAACAAGTGCTCTGATGGTGATATGATTCTCTAGATAAGGTGTCTGTCTTCTTAGGCGTTTTGAGATACAATCGCCAACTGTCAGCTGTCTGCTGGCTCAAGTTGCCATCAAAATCACCCAAAGGCTGCACAATGTGACTCATCAACATATTGTGAAACAACTTACTATGAACTATAATTATACATTGTAACTTCAGGCTCAGAAAGGCTAGAACCCAGAGCTGTAAAGCCAGTTATAAAAAAAGTACTCTACGGTAGGGATGTCGATGTTGCAGAAACATCGATGATGACATCGATGTTGGCATCGATAGATCAAGAATCGATAGACCATTTTCGATGTTTTTTGTATATGTGTAGATACTTACATATTGTTTCAAAATTAAATTATGTGGGTATATACAGCAAGGGAAACGTAACAATTAACTTGAATATCAATTTGCGTAAAATAGTTACCATGCGACAACCGACAACGATACTACAAAATAAAGCGAAAGCAGTGACCACTGTGACATTACAAGTGACACTTAACAATTAAGTTTGACACATCATAATGATATTTTTTTAGGTTAGCGATGCGTTCAGGAGGAGATGCAAGATTTATTTGATATTTATTTCGCGGGTGTTTGTTTTGTTCGCAAATTCCAAATAATCGATTATGTGTTCATTGACATCGATGTTCCGATGTTTGACATGTGTCAACGTCGATGTTAAAACATCGATGTTCTAATTTTTAACGTCGATATCATCGAACATCCCTACTCTGTGGTGACTACAAGCAAGTTGCTTGTACTTTACCTACATCATTTTTTAAATTCTAAACACTATTTTTATTTATTATCTGTAATTGATTAAGGTTTCGGTGTATTAGTAATAACGTACAAGAAATTTAACTAGATGTTTGGTGTTAAATTTGAAATTTGCTGTTAAATGTTGTGAAATTATCACCATAGTGAAAGTGCAATACAATTACAATGGGTGACGCTTGTCAAGCCTGTCTTACACGAATTCCCCATGCCACCCTTATAGCTACTATTATGTGCTGTTTGGGCGTGGGGGTTTTTTGTGGTACTATGTATCGGGGTTCTGCTCTATCAATACTTATGTTCGATGAAGTGTTCCACTTTAGGCTCATATGGATCGAAGCTTTGCAAATGATTTTTATTGTGGGCAGCGCATGTATGGCTGCACTCGGCTTTATGCTGTTGTGCTTGGGATGCTTAACAACAGGTGCAACTAGACAAAAAGTATACAGAGCATGGAGGGCTCGTGTCGGAGGAAGAATATCATGTGCTGTCTTCATGATAATAACATATATTCTGACTTTCGTCTGGATTGTATTGTTAGGTTTTCTAGTTATAACGACGTTTTTATTCACCATTTTTTGGAAATTATGTTCTAAACCAAAAAATATTGATCTTTCAACGTGTATCGATTTCACTCAATTTGATTTTATGTTTCCATCTAGCGTTAAGCAAGAAGATATGAGGATTTGTGAGGCTCACAAAATAAAGCTATTTTGTAAAGATTATGTTGAAAAGGCAGAATTTATGTTTATTCTTGCGATGGTGTCATGCATTCTCGTTATTTTGAGCTTAGTTCATTATTTGATGTGCCTGTCTGCAAATTATGCACACATAAGAGATCATGAGAAATTCCAAGAGTTACAAGAACTACAGTATCTGACTAACCCTGATTTACATGCCTCAAAGGACCGTTTCTAGTATATGGCCCGTGCGCCACTTCTGCGCTCCCTTGAAGCTACTACAAAAATGTGACAGTTCTAAACTGATCTTCGAGTTAATGAAATGTTTCGTGTTCACTGAAAAAATTATCAAGACTGATACTCAGTGGGTGATTTATTATCCACAATTTTAAATTGTATTTAACATATCTAAACCTTCCATTAATTGGTGACATTATTTTGATTTACTTACCAATATGATAATATATTAGATTCTACAAGGTGTTTGAGGTTCCAGCCGTTGAGCCGTGGTAGCTCAGGGGCTAATCGCTTGCTGTAAATTTTACAGTATGCTAGCAACCTGGGTTTGATTCCCGCGGGCATCAATGAAATTGTTAGTTGCAATTTTAAGTGCTGCTATACCACATGCTCTGCAGTGAATAAAACATCGTGAGGAAACCTGCATGTCCGAGGAATAAGTTTTTTTTTTTCGAAGATGTGAAGTATGCCAATCCACATTGGGACTGAGCGGCGCATGTGTCCTTGCCCTAAAACCCTCTCAGAAATCTAAGGAGGTCTTTGCCCAGCACTGGAACGTATATAGGCTGTAACTTTAACTTTTTTGACATTCCAGTACAATAAGTACTATTATTAAGTATTGATGATTCTAACAAAAGAGGAAAGATATGGTACTAAGAAGCTGCAAAAAGTAGACCATGAGAACTATGTGTAATTGATGTACTATCACTTATGAATGAATGAATGAAATATACTTTATTGTACACCAATAAATAATATAAAAAACTACAAATTAAAAAAACAAAGGTACAATTGGCGGCCTTAATGCTTACAAGCGTTCTCTACCAGGCAACCACTGGCAGAGGATATAATGACCTGTGAGATAGAGTAAGGGTGTACGCAAGTTATTTGGAAATACATAAATTTATTTGCCAACCTCACTAATGTTGCGTACACACATACAACTTTCTTCTAAAAACTACTTTGAATTCCCTAAATAGACTGCTTATTTTACAAATGTACCAAACATACAGGCGAAATAAAAAGAAGTCTTTTAGAGTCACTTTTCACCTGTAAGAATTTTTTGGATGAAAATGTTATTGTAGAAGCGGGATAGAGCTATGATCATAGCATGTCTTATTTCTGTTGTTTCCTTATTCTGTATGAGTAAGCTTGTATGCATAAAGCATGTAGTCCAGTTTCTTATTATATAATGTTCAGGAGTACCATATCTTCTCTTTTTTGTTTATATTAATTGTATTAAGGCATTTTAAAAAAGTATTTGCAAATTCTATTAAGCAGTGGTTAAAGTGTTTCTTTTATGATTTTATTGTGACCATCATGTTAACATATGATTATAATTATTCTAACATATTATTTTTTACCTTGTTAAACTGTTTCCATTTTTATTTAAGCTTCTATATAACTAAGCACACTATCACCCATTACACCTGAATTAGGACATTGGATTTCATTAATTTTAAGTTTTCATACGTAAATAACAAGTAAAAAAATTGTCTAAAACATTCTTAAATACAAAGTGTGTAAAATATTATTTGTGATATTTTATCATTGTCATGATTTTATATTTATGCAAAAGCACACATTTTGTATAGAAAATTAGGTAACTGTAGTATTCTTATTTATTGTAGTCGTAAGTATCCTTTTCTAGCTATAATATTAAGGAATTAAAACATTTTATTGATTACAGTTACTTTAATATATACCATATATATGTATACAATTATATTTATGCATTTAAGTACAATGGTTCTATATTAGTATAGGATAGATTTTAAATTTAAATAGGCAATATGGGATGATATGACCATGTTGAAACACTTGCTCTTTAATGTTTTTTATGGATAATTGTTAAATTTTGATACAAAATCTTAAAATATATCTTTGTCACTGCCTTTAATAATGAATACTAATTGTAATCAATTAATTCACAATTAGGTTTTAAACTGTACTGAAATTAGTTATCCAATTATGTATTTGAATCAATTAGATATAAGGTCAATTAGTCATATCAAAAAAAAATCTGTTCAATTTTAAAAAGAGAAGTAATGGTTCTAAAGTGGTGTTTATAGATGAATTAAAGACAATAACATAGAAAATAGATCCTGCAACTGCAAATCCTTACCTGCAAGTGCTTCACACAATGGAATTTAGTAAAATTATACTTATAGCCCTTCGAACTGAATCTATTAGAAGTGTTAAACAAAATAAATTTTAATCATTTTATGAACTGTTTTTTAGTTCCCTGTTTTCTTACTTTTTAGCCAACTTAAAAAAGGGAGAAGGTTCTCAATTCTACTGTATGTTCTTTTTTTTGGGTTCTGTATGTAACACCAAGGAACCCAAATTTCACCATGTTTGCCCCTCCGACCGCAGTTTTACTCAAAGACCCTAAGTGCTACGAAGCTGTAATTTCATATAGAGATATTAACCACGCCTACAAAGTTGGAAGATAAAATCTTTTTTTATTTTATTTTGGGTACCTCCAATACAAATGGGTTTTGTCGTTGAATAGGTCTTCAAAAATATTGGGGATATGGAATTGTTTTTCGATTCTGGGATCCGTTTGCGAAATATTCCTTTAAAGGGGTAGGTATTTTTTATTAGTCATGTGCCCCATGCCCCACCTTCCAACTAAACCACTGTTTTTGGAAATGTGAAGAATATGTACGATAGTAATGCGTATAATAAAATTAAAAGGAAAACTATCACAGCAAAGTAGGCATAACAGGTTAACGAGTATTAGTAGAGCAACTTAAAAATGCTCTTAGATTAGTAAAAAATTTCCTTACAATTCCATATAAAATGACCTAAAATTAGCTGCATTATAACTTTGTAATGTTATTGTTAACCGTTTTAAATCACAAACATTTTTTTGAGAAAATGACTTATGCGTTACTAATATAGCTTTATATCTTTCTTTGCGGGGTTAGGCAGGGAGGATCGATCGCCAAGAGAGATCCTGACATAATTTTTTACCACCTTCGCTTATTAGGATGCTTAGAATAGTTTAGGGCAGTGTTGGTTAATGGGAAGGTTCGATACGGACAAAGGCGGTTAAATGTCGACAGCGCTCCAGCCTAGCACATCGGTGCCCCTATGGCGGCCATCTAGGTATTATAAATTATAACGACATACCTATTTTGTAAATAAACTATATTATAATTGATGAACTGCCGACAGATTTACGTTCTGAGTGTATGTACTGTTTTTGATTTCGAGTCATTACGAATCGCCCCGCACGTATTCCTACTCTACGATTTCCAGCGTCCCGAAAAGGCTTTACTACTATAGACCACACACATACCATTCGGCAAATTTTACAGAAGACCGAAGAGTACAATCTGCCACATTGGCTTGCATATGTAAACTATGAGAAATTTTTAAATTCCGTCGAAATTTGGGCGGTGCTACAGTCCCTTTAGTTGTGCCAATTTGACTCATGACTGTCAGTATATCGAAGTTCTGAAGTGTTTGTACAGTAGGGCTACGGTTATCCGGGTACAGAACCAGAGTACGAAAACCTGTCCAACCGATTTCGATAAAATTTAAATGGGACCACCTGGAAAGTATACTCTGAAACAAAAAAAAGAATTTTCCAAATCGGTTCAGGCGTCTTCGAGTAATCGGTGAACATACATAAAAAAAAGATTCCGACTAATTGATAATTGACCTCCTCCTTTTTTGAAGTCGGTTGAAAAATGGTTTCAAATTTGAAAGTTATGTTGTTCAATTAGGAATGATAATACATTCATTGAAGTTGAATCATCTTTCAGATAAATTTGTGAGTACGATACGCGCGATACCTACTGCAAGTTATTTGTACTATGCCTATAACCTTCGTGCAAGTGCAAGCAATAAAGATTTGCCAATATCTGAGGCAGCGGATAAAATACGAACAAACAGAAATTAATTTTTATATATTAGATTTAATGCGGCAGAATAGTATAATTATTATAATTAATACCCATGATGGTGTCTTGCCTGCACTTTGGTAATTATTTCAAACCTTCAAAAACTAATACACCGTGCAATATAAGTATATTACAGCCATCTGTTGATTAATTAACGCATTCCAAATATTAAAATAAGGGCTAATATTCTTACGCTCATTAGATGTCGCTAGTATGGTCACACAGTGTCATTATCCATGAAAAGTTGCGTTGCGTTATAAAACAAGTTTTTCGGTTTCTAATGTATGTATGTATAAACTCAAACGGCAGTTAATTAATTATGACGATGTAAATAATACTCTATCGAAATTAGTACATTGGTTTAACGCCAACAATTTGCAGTTAAACGGCAATAAGACAAAAAAAAATAATTAAATTCAATAAATTGTAGAGACCCTCAGAGAAAAATTTAAAGAAATAAACATATTAACTTTGGCATCGCAATATATTTATGAAAATGTAATGTATGCACTTAAAAACATAAATAGCTTTAATAAGAATAAGGACGTTCATACCATAGGTTAATGATAAGAGTCATCGCGCGCTCTGACTAGATACCACGCTCCCTGCAAGTAACGGCACCATGAATGCGGAATTTTAATATTGTAGTGTGTATAAGACAATTTGCATGATGCTAGTGTGCGTGAAAAATTGTATATGCCAGCAGCTTAACTATTACCCGATTAACTTCAAAATTTATTTTAAGTTCATAGTTATGAATGTATTCCAGAAATACTTAAAAATTAATAGTTTATTAATAACGAATGTATCAATATATTTGTGTATATTATGTATAGGTTTTTCTTCTGAATAAATGACATATAAATGATAAGGCCTCCTTTTTATCAGTTTAAATCTTTTATTTATATGTCTAACTAATATTGAAAAATTGTTTAAAAAATAGTTATATATATAGTGTAATCAAAATAGTGCTTTCTATTCTACGCGTCAATATGAACAACTTTTACTATAGATCTACCTTCCAAATCGCAAGAAAAATCAGGTCTTCCATACATTTTGAGCAAGTTTGTACGAAATTTTGTATGGA